TAACTAAAAACATAAAAAACAATTGTTTTCAATAAGTTCAAAGCATGCTCAATTTTTTTTTTTTCAATTTTTTCTTATAGCACTAACTTTTTTTTTTCATTTCTGTCATAAAAACTTCTAATCTTCATGACATTTCTTCTTATACCAAATCTTCATTAGTATTAAAATGTACAATTATTGGATGCCACAATTGAAAAATCCACAATTCTTTCTTGACAAATAAAATGGAGTTTTGATGATTGTCATAACATATAAATCTATAAACCTATAGCTAGACCTAACTTAGGAGTTACCATCAATCTTTTATATTTAAGTGCAATTGGCCATCTAATTGATTCTGTCACATTTTAAAGAAATGTCTCAAGCTTGACTTAGGTATCTTTAAAAGGTAAATTTTAGTCTACAAAATCATTAGTAGGTTTAGGAGTACGATTACGTATGAAGAATGTTATAGCATCCTAACAAACGTCCATCGAAGGATGGTCTCAGTTTGATTTCGTGTTATTCAAGCCTTAAAACATATTTGTATTTATATCAAATAATTTAATATTAAAAATTAGTCTTAAAGTTACTCCAATCATTTAGTAGCAATCTAAAACAATTTTCTCACCTCATGAGTATTCATAGAAACTTGAGTCCTACCTTAAAAAGGCTTTATCATCAAATTCATTAATATGATTTTTTTCAAAAAATTAATTTTGATAACAATTAATAAAATCATTCAATCGTTTGGTAAGATTTTATATCGATGTATATCCCTTAATTGTTTGGTAGGATTTTTATTTGAAAAGCCCTTTTATGAAAATTTTAAAATGAATCATTAAATCTTTCAATATTTTGGTAAGATTTAATTGAAAGATTTAAATCTTTTAATCATTTGGCATGATTAAAATTTTATTTTTTCTTTAAAATTCATTATGAAATTCTTTAATTATTTAGTAGAATTCATAATTCGATATTTAAATCCTCCAATAATTTGGTAGGATGAAAAATTATTTTTCAAAATTCATTATGAAATTCTCCAATAGTTTGGTAGAATTCATAATTTAAAGATTTTTAAACTCATAAAAATCCTCCAATCATTTGGTAAGATATCATGAATTAAAAAAATATTATTATTATTTTATATATTTTAAAACATCCATAAACAATAATATAAAATAAATAAAAGCAAATAAAATTTATACCAATTGGACCAAGTCCAAGTCGAAATCCAAAATAAATTGAGCTTGGAATGGCCCAACAAAATTCTAACCAAGCTTGAAAATAGAAGGTTGGCTAGATAATTTTGGACTTCATTGTTGGGCTTGAATTTTCTTTAAGATGGTGAGTAAGTTTAGCACTATTGCGATTGAGCTTCGGTAATGGAGGGAATATGACAGAGAGACAGTGCGGTGGTTTTGCTTTTGCTAATTGCTTTTTGTTTTTTCTTTGATTACTTTGTTCTTCAACATATAACTCTAAAAAGAAAATCCTAATTATCTAAACCCAAAACCCATAAAAAACTATAAAAAAACCCTTAATTTTTCTACTTTTTTCTTCTCTTTCTCTCTTGATTTTTTTTATTAATTCTTGATTATTTCTAATTAATCCTAATAAGGTCTTTTTATAAGCCTCTAATCCCAATTACAATAGGAAAAGGAGTTTTTTAGGTTTGAATCTCCTAATCAACTTCAACCTTGAATTTTTAATCCAAATTCACCTCTCAAACCAATTCCATTTTATAGTCCTTTTTCAATTAAAACATTTTCAATTCAACAACCCAATTAGAATTAAACCCTCTTCAAGTTTTAGCAAAACAATTTTTTCCCCACTTTTTTTTAAAAAAAATAATAACTCTAAACTATATACAATATCAAAAATAAATTAAAAAAATTTAAAGCTTAATTTTAAAATATAAATTGACCCTAAACTAAATGAGATGTCTACAATAATTATGTTCATATTCTGATATCTTTATAATAGCTTTTCGATCACATCAACAATATTTGTTCTGAAATTGAATATTATAATCTAGTGCATGACTATTGCTTGAATAAGGTATGACAATATTTTTTGGGAATTTTTTTCAAACACTTAGTGAATAATTACAAATGACCCTATAAAAAAAACATGTAAATAAACAAAATATGGTCAAAAACTCTAACAACAAAACAATAAATAATTTTTTCAAACATAACAAAACCGGACTTATTTACTTGATGAACAAACACATAGTGAACAACATATAAAAAAATACACAAATAAGCAAAACAATAAAACAAAACAACATGCAACTTCAACATCTTAATTTGTCAACATAAGAAAAACCAAGAAACAAGTTAGAATCATCACACTTTTCTAGCTTAACAAATTCTGATGTCCGTATAGCAGCTCTTCAATTTTGTAGCTTCAGGTATTCACCTATCGAGTTTATAGCTCCAACTTCTTTCTTTATTTTTGTCATAAAACTTATAAACTCTATGATATTTCTTCTCAAACTAACATCTTCATTGGTATCAAAATATACATTGATTGGATGCAACTATTGAAAAAATCTACAATTCCTTTCTTGACAAATAAAATGGAGTTTTGAATGATTATTTTTAGATTAAGATATCTTTATAGTAGCTTTTCGACCATATCGACAATATTTATGCTGAAATTGAATAACATAATCTGGTGTGTGACTATTGTTTAAAAAAGGCAAGGAAATATTTTTTGAGAATTTTTTTTCAAACACTTAGTGAACAGTTACAAATGACCTTATTAAAATAATACATAAATAAACAAAATATGGTCAAAAGCCATAACAACAAAACAACAAATAATTTTTTTTAAACATGACAGAACAAACCCTAATTACTTGATGAACAAACACATAGTGAACAATATTTAAAAAAAAAAAATACACAAATAAGTAAAACAACATGTAGCTTCGGCATCTTAATTTGTCATCATAAGAAAAAACTAAGAAAAAGTTAAAATTATCTCACTTTTCTAGCCCAATAAATTCTGATATCTTTACTACTACTCTTCAATTTTGTAGCTTCTGCATCTTCACCTTCAGGGTTTATGTTGGTAAACAAATATATTGAGTATTTAGAGATAAAATGATCTTAATTTTAGGACCTTAACCTATTAGTTAACGAAAGGACTTTTTTGTCCTAATAAATTGAAGTGTTTAGGGTGAGTTGTCTATTTGTTATACTAATAGATTTGTATTGAATTTAGCTCAAACTTATGAATTTAGATGGAATTTACCCTTCATAATAATTTTTTTCTTCAATATGTTGTTATTTTAATTTTTTTATTATTTTTAAATTTTAGTTTGTTTTTTATTTTAATTTTTATTTCAATAAAATAATATGAATAAATTATTTTTTACACAGAAATTTTTTAAATTTATATATATGTATATATATATATATATGCACGTACATTTATGCATACATATATATTATTTAAGCCTTCTTGAAGCTAAAAGACTTCTCGTGCAGTGCACAGGCTAAACCTAATACACTATATAAGTGAAATAAAATTTTGATTATGTAGATAAAAATTAAAAGAAAAGAAAGCTTTACAATTATTTTAAACTGTAAATCAGAGAAAATATGGGATTTATATCATACAATTTTTTTTAAACAAGTACAAATTTTCTAATATAGAAAAAAGTAATATTAAAATTGGATTTTTATGATTTGAAGAAAAATTAAATTACTACTATATTTTTAGTAAGACATATATTTTATTGTTTATAAATTTCTAAATTGAGTTGATATCACTTTACTCGTATACCAAGCTCGGAGTTTTCTTATTAATACAGAAAAGATTAACCAACTAAGAATCAATAAGAAAAGAAAATCAGAATACATTAGAATATCTGGAAATATATGGCAGCTTGGTTCTGTCAAGCTGCTTCTTCCAACAGTCCACGTCTCCAACATTAATTTTCCTCTTCAATCTTCGCCACAACACTACCCTCTCCTTTTTTATTGCTTCATCGCTTTGATTCTTGTCCGAAGAATCCATCTATTGTTTGTCATCCTTTGTGTTTTTCCACAACTCTCTCATTCTCTCCCTCATTCCGCAATTCCTGTCCTCCAAGGAAATCACATTTCAAATCCTTTTTCCTTGAAAACTTGATGCCTGTCACTTGCTCAAAAGCAAAAGAAAGCCTTAACGCTTTTCCAATGAATTATCCAATTCTGAAAATCCTCCCTCGGTCCATCAACAAAAATCTCTTTAACCAAAATTTCTGGGATCCCATAATCAGGCCATCTCTGGAAACTCCATTGCAGTCTCAGAAAATATGAGCCTCCACACTCCTCACTGCCTTGATTAATCATTAATCTGTTACTTAGGTTTTATGGTATGCCTGCAGAAAGGAAGTCTTTATTTCTTCCCTACAAAGTGAATGGTATGGCTCTATGTTAAGATCATACCAAAGCCCAGCCTCATTCTCAAGGGTGACTGGGAAGATCCTCATAATCATCTCAACAGAAGATGCATTATTAGCACGGCAAATTAAATTTGGTAAACCTGCATAAATGAGTAACCGGATATTCGTTGTGGCTGCCGTGACTGACAGGTAACGGGGCAATGTTAACATATGAAGTAGCCTCAATAAGATTAAGATCGGATCCTAACCAATTAGCAGAATTTGAGACTGCTGCACTTAAACCATTGCTTCTGAACAATGTTTTGAGGTCATTAGGTGTATTAATCATGGATTCAGATTGGAAGTCGGAGGCATGATCATCATAGTCATAATGTTCTAACAAAAGAAAGAAAATAAAGCCATTTTATAATCATATATTCAAGAACCTAGAAGAGACCTATGTTGCAAATTGAATAACTGAATTAACAATAAAAAATAAATTAACAAATTTAGGAAAAGCATAAATATAGAATATCATGAATGATATGTACATAAAAGTTTATTTAATAGTGAAATTGAATCATATGTGATTTATTTTAAGGGCTAAGACCTTTTGAATTTTTTCCTCGAAAGATAGTTTTCAAGACAAATGACGAGAACAATCAGGAATTGTACATCGTGAGTGGATGCCAAAATCGCATTTCTTACAATGGTAAACCCAGAGCTGATTTGGCAAATCTTGGCCACAGTGATCACAAAGGAAAGTTTTAATATTCTCGTTGATGCATGAGAAGGAATAGTAGAGAGTGAGTAGATGTTGGTGATCCTTATGCTTTATGGTTTGGGGCAGTTGAGCACATCCAACATGGAGATCAAATTTACATATGGAGCAATGGTAGTCAAAACCAGTGCCATAGTCATAGCAAGCGTTACAAATGAAAAGGCCACTAATGTAATCGTGAGGAGGGGTGGAGAGAAGTTTGAGAGAGTGGTGAGGGTGGGATTTGTGTTGCACCTCTAATTTCAAATTGAAGCATGACTTGTGAAGAAGGAAATTACAGTCAGACTTGGTGCACCTGAAAATTGAACCCGTAACATCTAGGCCACAGCCAGAGCAAATAAGTTCTTCCTCTGCTTGTATTCGATCAATCGGCCGCAAAGGATGGCTGTGGCTGAAATGATTCACGCATGGACGCAATGGTAAGTATGTGTGGTGCTTAGGCGTCGTCATCTTTATTATCAGGACTTCTTTTTTGTCAACCAAGGCTAACATTAAATCCAACTTCTAGTGGAAATATATATATATATATATATATGAATATTCCTTTATTGTCATAATAACTTTACAATAACCAAAGTCTCCTTGTTTAAGTTATGTTTAAAATTAGATCTAATAATTTTAAATATAATATAATGATATAATATGAAAATAATATAAAAATATATATAAAGTGATATGATTTAAGATTTTGATAAAAATCATATATAAATTTGATAAAAATAAAAAAATATATTTTGTATTCTTATGTCAATACGAATTATAACACAATAATTTTTATATTTGACACAAATCAGACACAATATGAATTTCAAATTATTAAATTTATTTAGAATCAAATGAATAATTGAGTTCTTTTTCATTCAAGTGTTTATTTGGTTATTACTATTCTTAGGATATATAAGATCTCTAAAATTCGAATCCCCTTAGACCTCCTAATATCATACCAACCCTCTTTATTTGGTTTACGTTTGGAATCAAAATAAATAATGGAATTGCTTTTCATTTCATTGTATATTCCTTGATTGTTCATCACTTCTCATATTGCAAATGTACTTATTTGGATTAAATTTGTAAATAGAAACTTGATAAGAAGAATCATAACTTACTTTCTCTTATTAATCATTATAATTGATAAACAATAAAAAATTTTTACTTATCTTTTGGCCCATGTAATGTATGTGCGTAATACCATTAAATAGGAATGTCAGTTTAAATTAACAAATTTTATTTGGCCAAAAAATTTGAAAAAATTGTATGCAATACATAACTAATACAAAGCATAAGGATAACAAAAAGTTGTAATCGCTTTTGATCAACGTGGAAGAGTGGTTAAATTCTCACGCAGATTAAAATTTTAATATTTTATTTTTTACATTATGACAAGTGTATTTTTAAGGGTTGCTTGAGTTTAATTTTTTTAAAAAATGATTCTTAAAAGCTATTATTTAGTAAATTTAGTATTCAAATCTTAGCAGTTACAATCCCTTTCTCTATTATCAAACTACAACTTCTTTTGTACAAAAAAAAAAAATTAAAGAGTGCGAATCAAATAAATCATTAAAATTATTTTAAAAAATTATAAAAATATCATTTAAAAATGATTAAATTCAAGCAAAACTTAAAAATATACTGATCATATTATAAATAATAAAATATTAAGCAATTTTTAATCGTCATGAGAATTTAAGTTGAAAATTTGAATTTGGATTCAGCTTAAATAGCTCACTCATCTTAGGAAGTGGATTTTATAAAGGCTAAGATTGGATTTCCAACACTTAGAAATTTTTCTTTCAAATTTCTCTTAGGCCTTGACAAAAAAAAAAAAAAATACATTCTAAATTGAAAATTTACTCTAAATCTTATATAGTAATAATTTAAGTAGATTATTATTTTCAATAAGCATCAATAAGACAATAATTGAATTTGAAATTTAACCCATATGATTCATGTAACCAATTTTAAAAAGTGATATTAAACACATTTAAATTTAAATTTTAATACTTGCAATTCACTTTCTTATTTTTAAGTTAAAATCTTCTTAAACTATGACCTCTTTTATACTAAATATAAAAGAGTATGCATCAAATTAATCATTAAAATCATTTAAAAAACTATTAAAAAATCATTTAAAATAAGATTAAATTCAAGCAAAACTTAAAAATACACTGATCATATTATAAAATAAAATAAAAATTTAAGAATTTTTTAATCTTCATGAGAATTTAAGTTGAAAATTTGAATTTGAATTTAGTTTAAATAGTTCATCACATATCTTAGGAATTAAATTTCATACCGAGGTTCGATCTCCCACATTTTTTTTTTCAATTTTTCTTAAGCTTTGACTTCTTATGTTAAAAAAACTCTAAATAAAAATTTTGCTCTATCTCATATACAAATAATTTAAATAGATCATTATTTTCAATAAATATCAATAACACAATAATTAAATCTAAAATTTAGCTCATATAATTATTATAATTAATTTTAAAAAATAATATTAAATATATTTAAATTTAAATCTCCATATTTATAATTCTATACGATTTAATTTGCGGTCTATGTAAATCGATCAGACTTATTTTTATTATCCACTGAAATTTTTACATCTTTGATCTCAAAGTGTGTTAGTGTTGGAGTCAGATTTGACATTTTTACATACTATACCCCGGACAAGAACTTAGCTTGATGCATCAATAATCAATGCAACGTTTTGGGTCTGACACCATCAAATCAAATCAACTCACCCCCATTAGCCACATTTTTCACTTTAAACTTGCGGGGATTCGCAACTAGTACTACTAGCACTAGCTTGGCAAGAAACAGTTGCAGTTTGAAGGAACCGTCGTGTTTTATATGAATCGCAAAAAAAAAAAAAAAATCAAATTGAAGAGATTGATTTCAATAGTACGATACATTAGTATTCATAAATTTTTAAAAGTTAATTCAATTAAAATTTAAATTTGATTTAATAATCATCAAATTAAAGCTTAAATAATTTAATTTATTAAATAAATTGAATTCAAATATATTAATATTCGATTCAAATAACTCATGAATTTAATCAAAATTTTTTATTATATATATATATATTTAAATAGAGTTTATTTAAGGTGTTTTATAACCTAAAATACTTTGAAAAATTTTTTATAAAATTAAAAATAATTATTTAAGATATTTTTGATATAAAATACTTTGAATAATTTCTTTTAAAATTTTTTTAAAATTATTCTAGGAGTGTTTTGCCAGAAAGCGTTTTAAATAATCCTCTAATAAAAATTGAAAAGGATTATTCAAAGTGTGTCTAGCTAAAAATACATTAAATAATCTTTTTTAATTTTTATGAGAAGATCCACTCTCATTTTTTTTAGAATATTTTCATTTAATTTTTGTAAGAGATTATTCAAGGCGATTTATGGGCAAAAACGCATTAAATAATCTCTAATAAAAATTGAGCAAAAAATATCATGAATAATCTCCTCATAAAAATTGAAGGGAATTATTCAATGTGTTTTTTAGTATAAATGTTTTGAATAACCCAATTCAAGTTTTTGTAAAGGATTATTCAATATGTTTCTTATAAAAAAAAACATCTTGAATAATTCAAAAAAAAAATATAATCCCTTCCAAAAAATTTGACGGGATTATTTAAGATAATTTTAGCCCTCATAAAAATTGAAAGAGATTATTGAAGGCGTTTTTTGTTAGAAATACCTCGAATAATCCTATTCAACTTTTTGTAAGAAATTATTTAAGGCATTTTCTGGGCACAAATGCTTTGAATAATTCTCAATAAAAAATTAAAAGGGATTATTTAAGGTGTTTTTTATCAGAAACACCTAGAATAACCCCATTCAATTTTTTAAGAGATTATTCAAGGCGTTTATGACCAAAAACGCTTTGAATAATCTCAAAAAAAAAAAAATGACAGAAGATTATTTAAGATATTTTTTATTATGTTTGATAAAAAATAGTTGTAAAAGATCTTAATCTCAAGGATTGAGCTTCTGTTGAGTATAAGAATTAAGTTTATTTTTATATATTAATCAAGCCTAATCGAGCGAGCTTAAATAACTTGATTTCGATCATAAATCAAGCTCGAGCTAAGAAAATAAAACTTAATTAAGTTCAAGTTGAGTATCGAGTGGTAAGTTGAGAGTCCAGCTTAAGCTTTTCATTGTATCATCTCGATTTAGCTCGATTACACTCCTAATCACATTGAAATGAATACATAATTCTAAAATCTTAAAAAAAACAAAAACCACAAAACAAAAGACAACAATTTATAAAATGATTGCTTAACACAAACAGTACATAAAAATTTAGGCCTAAAACCAGGTCCTTTCATCAATGCCCCCTAGAAAGAGAGGCAACCCAAAGAGCGCAAACAAGTTGACCCATTGGAGGGATTCAATTTCTATGCACACTACCATGCTAGCTTCATTCTTTCTTTGTTCCAGAGCATCGGCTTATTGCACATAGTTTTTTCTTCTCAAAACAATCTAAAAAACACCAGCAGTAACTGAGAAAATCATCTTACAACACTATTTTTTTTAATGAGTTAATAGCACTCATAATGTTTAAATTTTGATTCAAATTTTATTTTAATCTCTATATTTTAAAAAAATTTAATAATCGGATCTCTAATTGTTTAAAGTTATCTTATTTTGATCATTCTTTCTATAGAATCGTTTAAATTAACAATAAATACTAACTGATACCATGTGATGACGTTAGCTAACATCTCACATGACGATTGAGAGATCAAAATAGAATTTTTTCAAAATTTAATAACAAAAAATGAAATTATCTTAAAATTTTATATATTTCATATATATTTTATAAAATATTAAATTTAAAATTATATTTGTATATTTATTGTTGTAATATAATTTATTAGTTATATTTTTTAGTTCTTAATAGAAAATAGATTATTAAAAATTAAAATTAAGTTAAAAATTCAATATCATTTTAAAAACAAAAAATATATTTTCTATTAAAATATTATTGTACACATAAATCAAAATAAAAATATTATTTTCTATCCATAAAATATATTTTTTAAAATATTAAATGTCTTTTATTTTCCTTTTTCAAATATATTTTATAAAAAATAAATAAAGGAAAAGATAAAAATAATTCAAGAAAAAATTGATTTTTATATATTTAAAATATATTTTTATAAAATATTATAATTTAAAATATATTTTAATTTTTACTATGATATGATTTATTAATAGAATAATATTTTAATAGAAAATAGATTTTTTAAAAAATTAAACTTAAGTTGAAACTTTCAAAATAATTTTGTTAAAATTACATATTATCATAACGTGTAAATTCATGGATCTATTGCTAGATATAGATTAAAAGAGTCGACACTAATCTTTTTTATTAAGGTGTGATTGGTCATCTGATCAAATCTGTTCTATGTAAAGATGACTCTCAAAATT